GCACACACACACACACTTTCCATTCCTTTTCTTGTTGATTTGTAGTAGTATTCTATTGTGGTTTGAGGAGATGCATGACAGTATTTCAGTTTAAAACTTATTGAGACTTGATGTGTGGCCATGTGTCACCTCTTCTGAAGGAATATGTATTCTGAGGCTGTGGGATGAAACAGTCTATAAATATCTGATGGGTCCATTTGCTCTACGATGATTTAACTCAAATGTGTCCGTTGATTTTATGTCTGGATGAGTTGTCCATTGAGGAAATTGGGCTGTTAAAGTCCCAAACATCATTGTACTAGAATCTTTCCCTCCCTGTGGCTCCAGTAATATTTACTTTATATGTGTGAGTTGTACACATGGGCTATAGAATGTCATTCTGGTAGGTACTCTGACTTTAGTTACTGGGGAATTCCAAAGCAGTTTGTGTGATTCCTCATCTTTGATCTCAGCTTTGTTATACAGCTTTGCAGTGGACCTGAGCTTCCAAAGTTGCATGTCCTCGGTGCTCAGAGTTGAGCCTGATGGTACTAGGTCTTGTGGCAGCAGCTACTGCAGTCTTGGTGGTTCAGGGCGTGGAAACGATTGTCCTCAGCCCCCAGGGCAAACACAGGTGACACTGAGAGCTGCGGCACAAGCAGCCACAGTCCTTCATTGACTTTTTCATATTGTTATTTTAGCCCAGGAAATGAATTAGGTTGGTTTTATTTTGAAAATTCTTTCAGAAGCTTTGACCACCATCCCGCCACACGGCCTCCCTCCCAAGTCACTTCCCCACCTGCCATAACCTCCATCGCTCCCATCCCTCAGAGCACTCTGGAGGACAGATGTGAAGTGCACCCGCTGCTTGTCTGTGACACACAGACGGCTCGCTGGCCCACATAGGCAAGCCTTGCTCATGAATAGCACTTCCCTGAGCCTCACTTGGGAATCTCTCGAAACTCCAGTAAGGTCATTAAATGCTCTGTCCTGGAGGAAAACAAGAGTTCAAGGACCTATAGCTAGTTGAGAATCAGAAAGGAAGCCATAGGTTTCTAGAGTTAGAGAAATATAAGTATCATCCACTCCTGCTCCTTCATTTTATACATGAGAAAACTGAGACCCAGAGGGGTGAAATCTCTCCAGGCTGATGCTGTGTATCAAAAAGAAAATTATTCTCTTTATAGAAATTTAGCTTACATACTTTTTCCAAGCACATCTGTGAAAATTTTAGCATAAAATCCCCTATCAATGCAAAAAATTCTGTCTCTGCTCTTCTTTGTATTTTATATTCATATATATATTATCACTTCTATTTAAAGGCAAAATATTCTCTGTTGTCTGAGAACCACATTATGCAGCTTTCAGAGCATGACGGTTATTTCAAACGCCATTTCAAATGCTATATTTCTAAACCTTGGAAATAGTAACCTCTTCCTAGTCCTTTAAAAATAAGAGGCAGAAGTGGAAAAGCCCAAAGTGCTGCTAAGATAATGTACTGTTTTAAACATCTGAATAAAAATATCTTCATAAGTTGATGGAGTTTTTAAAGGTAGCTTTTCTTTGTTAAAACTGAAGAATAATAGTTAAGATTTGTTCCTGCCATTTGATAAGCTGTATTTCCTCAGATGAGCTTGAAATATCTAGTACAAAGACAGAAGAATTGACTTACTATAGTCATGTGAAAAAAAAAAAAAGAACCAGTACCATCCTAAAAATCTCAACTCCATTTTTGCCCAAACTTTAATGTTTTATATAATGCAAGGTTTTCTGAGCATTTTATAGATGTGCCTGCAAAACTTAAAATTTCTTTACCAAATTTTTCTTTAAATTTTTTATCTCATGAATTGAACTGCAGTTTATGTGCTGATGACTTCAGAGATAGGATCTTTGAAGCTACGACTTCTTGCAAATGCCAGTTTCTGTCTCTAACTGTACTGTTGACACTTCAACATGGAACAGCCCATGCCGTCTCAGCTTTACATATCTAAATCTGAACTAAGCCTCCCCTTAGCTGCCATCTGTAACTATTACTTTTTTCCTAATCATCCATGTATAAAATTTAAGAACCATCACATACATACTCATCTCTGGCCTATAGTCCTATCTTTCTGTCCCTTACATGAGTCCCTGTGCTGGGTCTTTTATATGTCCCTTTCTTCCTTTACTCTTTCATTAATTCATCCTGTTTTACTAAGTAACTACTAAGCTCCAGGCCCTCTCCTAGGAAATGGTGTATCAATAAGTCCAACCCCTGCTCTCAAGGAGATCATGGCATATTAGAAGAAATCAGTAGCAGTGATTTATAAAGCACGGGCTACAAACCTGAGAAACTCTAATTGGATATTTGTGAACTGAAATTGTGAAAATTATTTCAAAGGAAAATAAGATCCTGATTAAAATGCTTGCTTCATTCATACGAGGCAATATTGAAGAAAACCAACAGTAGAAAAGTTTTTTTTTGTTTTGTTTTGTTTTTGTTTTTTGAGACAGGGTCTCACTATGTAGTTGAGACTGACCTGGAACTCACTATGTAGCCCAGGCTGGTCTCGAACTCACAGTGATCCTCCTGCCTCAGCCTCCCAAATTCTGGGATTACAGACATGCGCCACCACACCCGGCTCTGGAAAAGTTTTTAAATGAGAAACTTCTCAGCATCCCTCCTCGAGGCAGAATGAAACACCTTCCCATGTGTTTGGTGGGCTGCTGCAGAGGGAGCACTGTTCTGGGAGAGAGCAGCGTATTCAGGCACTCACCTGGTTGGAATCATATCTGGTTATCCAGATAGCCATCTCAGAGGCCCACTGCTAAACGATGATTGGGATCAGTAATGCTGCTAAATTCTTATTCTGAGGGCTGGGGATTTAGCTCAGTGGTTCGGTGTCCTGCCTTGCAAGTGCAAGGACCTGAATTCGATCTCCAGTACCAAAAAAAATTTTTTTAAAAAAATTCTTATTCTAGGCTAGCAATAGAATATGATGTTTTTAAAATATAGTTCAGATTCAGACATTTCTAGAGATGTTCTGTAGTTATTGTAAATTTTTATCTATATTCATAAACAAGTCTTCTGAACTTGACACGGGTGATATAAGGAAAATTATGATTTCTATTATACTAAACAGACAAGTTTTAGACACAAAAACTTTTTATGCCTCTTCAAAGCGAATTTTATAAGGAAAAGTAAGCCCACTTATCTAATAAAATCAGTACTGTTTTAATATAATTATTTTCTCATTATATAGTTTAATTTCCACCAATTAGTTTGTAGGGGAACTTGTGTAAGTCATGTAAAATTCTTTACTCATATGTGCTACAGAAGTTCAGACAGTTGTGAGTTTGTCAGTGAGCCCTGATGTTCATGTGATCTCATGTAGCAGTGTACTTTCTTTGAAACCTCCTTATATCAATGCACTTGATTGGAGTCAATGCCAGGGTCATTCTTTAATCAATCCTAGTGAATACTTGAGTAAAATCCTCTTTATCACCCAGCGCATTCCTTTCATTCAGATGAAACTCAGTGGCTAAGAACAAAACCGGACAATCAAAACTTTTTCTCACACTGAGTAAAGGAAGCCTGGGCAGATTCCTGTGCAGACTGCAGTCGAATGGAAAGGGAGACGGAAGCACTGGGGACTGTGTGGTTTGCTGACCACAGCTCTTCAGTCTTTCTGTGGCACTGCTCATTTCAGAACGTTAAAGTAGCTTTGATTCCTAATACTAAAAGTTAAAATTCCTAATGCCTACTTTTTATTAAAAGTGATAAACTCATAAAGCTTAGTAATTTCCCTTTCTATGTCAAAGTTAATGAAGTGAGAGAAAAAGTGCTTTGCCACTAAAGAATTTAGGGCAAAGTTAGAGAAACCCAAGAGAGGAGTTGACATCAAACTCTGATTGGAAACCATTTTTTTTTTCAAAATAAATTTGTCTGATAAACATTTCATGTGCTTGATTTTTTTTCCTGTCTAGAAATACTATGCTGGAATTTCTAAGTGTGAAGTCTCAAAATGAAACTGAGAAAAATGAAATAATTAGCTTCAATTCTGATAACTTTGTTGAACAGGAAAATAAATTTTCTTTTGAATCCTTATATTTTCAATAAGTGAATTTCAGATGTTCTTAAATTCTCAAGTTATGATGAAATTTACATTGAATTGATTTGCACTGGGCTACCTATTGGTGTGCATAAGGAAATTCTTCTGTTAAATAAGTAACAGAAAAAGTGTTAATGTCTCTTTGTCCATTTAACGCACATACCCAGCATGCTAGTTTGACAGACAGGAGTCTGCTTTTTCCTCCTTCACAATTAAGATACCTTGTCAGTTTGGTTTCCTACCTAAGAAAATATTAGGCTGCTCTTCATCTCTGAGAATCTAATTTTCCTTAACCATTTATATATAAGATTAGTTATATT